GTGATGTCATGTGTGTCAAAATAGAATTGTGCTCCTTAAGATTTCCAATGGCTGATTTTTTGGAAGTATTGCCAGGCCTTTCTTCTGAGACACCTCTGGATGGACTTGAACCTCCAACCTTTTGATTAGCAGCCAACTGAGTTAACCATCTGCACCTCCCAGGGACTCCGCCTGGTCCATAAAGCTTAATAAACGTTAGCACTGACCAGCTGTGTGCTGGAGATAATGGTGAATTAAGACAGTCAGTTTGTGACTTGTAGAATTATCACACAGATAAATATATTACTATGAACCTTAATAAGTAGCATTAAACTGTATAACCTAGTCTTATAATGATTGGGGAAGCAAAGTAATCATTAATTAGGCCCCAAGGGCCAGAAAAAAATGAACATCCAGCATTTTGAGAAGTCCTCAGTTTGAGTTTTCTGCTGAATAAAAGAATTTTAAAGATTAAGAAGTAGTAAGGAGATGGACTCCACCATTAATGTTTCTGCAATTGGGTATGTAAACACTATTATAAAAGCAGTCACCTTATTGTATGAAAATATCACTTATAGATATTTATTAATGATTATTTTGCATAATTAATAAAAATGATAGCAAAGTAAGACCAAGACGATAATAGGAAGTAAGCAAACCAACTGCAATCATTAAAAATAACTATTGCTGACTCTCAGCCCTCCATTCTCTCTTGGCAAGGTCTGGTGACAGCTGTGTAGCAGGCAGATCAAGTTTTCATGATACCAAGTTATAGGTTACATCTTTGGGAGCAGGTCTTTCAGAATGCACTTTCTCTTGATCCACCTCAAAGATCAGCCTAATTAGTAAACAATACTGGCCAGATCTATCATTTACTAGGAGCCTCGGTGGCTCACTGGCTAAGAGCTTGGCTGCTAACCAAAAGGTCAGCAGTTCGAATCCACCAGCCACTCTGTGAAAATCCCATGGGGCAGCTCTACTCTGTCCTATTGGTAGGGTCTCTAAGAGTGGGAACTGACTGGATGGTAATGGGTTTATTATGTGTCAGAGTCCCTGGTTGGTGTAAAGGTTAACACATTCTACTGATAACTGAAAGGCTGGAGGTTTGAATCCACCCAGAGGCTCCCTGGAAGAAAGGCCTGGTGATTTACTTCCAAAAAATCAGCCATTGAGAACCCTATGGAGCACAGTTCTGCTCTGACACACATGGGGGTACCATGAGTTAGAATCAACTTGATGGCAGCTAGTGTTGGTACTATTACATGTCAGGAACTATGCATATTACCCAAATCTTCATTTTTATATGCTTCAATGTTTAAGTGCCTCATATGCTTATTCCATCTTCCCAACCTCTATCTTATATTTATGTTCCCAGGAAATTATTGGGCTCCATTTACAAAACATTGAAAAATAAAAGCACAGAATGTTTTAGTCAGAAAAAGAAAATATTAACTTTCATACACTAACTAAAGTTAGATCAATATAAAAATCATGAACTGTGACTTGAAAGATATCAATGTTATAGAAACTTGTTATTTTTAAGAATGATTATAAAATAGTTCTCATTAGGAAAGAGAATAGTAATTAAAATGCCAATTTCAGAACCTGCACTGCCTCCCCAGACAGAATCAGGCCACGTGTGAGGCACTGCTCAACAATAAACAGGAACTAACCCTGCGGAGTGCAAACGGTTAAGCCTTGACTACTAACTGAAAGGTTGGTAGTTCAAAACCACCCAGAAGTGTCTAGGAAAAAGGCCCTGGAAATCTACTTCCAAAAGGTCACAGTCTTAAAAACCCTATGGAAAAGTTCTTCTTGGCACACATGGGGTCATCATGAGTAGGAATTAACTTGACGGCAACGGGTTTTAGCAAGAAAACTAGGACATAAATATTAACTTCCTTTGTCCTGTCTATCTCTTCTAAACACAAAATACACGTATGCCCAGTAGTTATCATTTAAAAGTTCAATTTCTCCACGGACTCCTTTTCTCATTCATATTAAAGTACTAACACATCAGATTTCATCATCAACTTTTTTTTTCTACATACTATGTCAACTAACAAAACCTAAAAGATCCCAATCATAAAATAAGCAAAGATAAGTTGATGTATCTCTAAAAATATTCTATGACTATATGACTATAAAGGTTGTACATTCTTCTTGAAATTCTGTATTCAACAAGCTTTAGCAGGCACAAGTCTTACTATCAAAATCTGTAAGAGTGAAGCTTACGCTTGCTACAAAATCCACATTAAGCATAATGTGAAAAATAATGAATAAAGATTGAAGCAATTAAACACACCCACACACACAAAAATGAAAATAAATACAGAAACAAGATGCAATATGTTTGGGAAAGAAGTAGGATATGGAAAATCCTTACTTGACTACAACATTCTTTCCCACTACGAGGACAGGAAGTATGTATGCTAATCTCCAACTACAGGTATGGTTTGGGTCATCTCTGAAACCTATTTGAAAGTGCAGGTGTTGGCTGAAATGCTGTTCCCATTCTTGTAAATTCATGATGACTAGAGAGGACAGGTGGGGGAAGGCAGCGAAACATAGAGAAATGGATTTAATGTGATGGAATGAAAGGAAAGGCATGGTCCTGACAAATCCTAGGCAGCCTGGATTGCCACAAGAGCACTAACGATGCTCTCAAGGAGCATCCTCCTTATGGAGGAAGAGGAGTAATGTCCCAAATATAGGCATTATTAAACTTTCACCTTAAAGCAATTCTGATTCCATATTCTCCATCAAATAGCTTGTGAATCAAAAAGAAAAAAACAGAACAAAATGCCACCTAACTTCTACCACTACAACCATCTATAGTAGCCAAAATCCTATGGTCCTGTGATCACTAATACTTCTCAAATTCTAGCTCAACCAATATGTACTAGACTGAGTCTAGTGTGTATATTCCATTACTTTGGCTCAACTGACCAAAACACAGAAAATTTCCTTTTTAAATTTAGGCACAGTTAATCCTTCTCTCTCTGGACTTTTACCCTTCATAGTTATTCCGTAAAATTAGTGTTAATAACAGCAAATTTTAAAATTAAACAGAGGGGGAAAATATAATCCATCTAGCAAAATGTCATACCTGGTGGTACTTCCTGTTGTTCTTCTGCAGGGGGAACACTGACGTCTAAAATAAATAAAAGTTATAATCCATTACATATCGCCAACCAGTGTTTAAAATATAGACTGCCAGTATTTAAGCTACAGTGATTATTTCGTTGACTTTTTAAAAATTCAATTGCAATGATCATAATACACCATCACAACAAAGAAGAATTAGACATAACTTCACACATGTTCTGTACAAGAGGCTGTACAACATCATCTGCCTAACTGACTAACCTCAAAACTCCACTGCTTATCAAAGAAGGTAAGGACTAAAACCTAGGTTTTCACTATACTGTTGCATCAGACTTGATAAGAGAGCGGAGGAAAGACATTTAAAAACATCTTCTTTCTTCTTTAAAATGTTTCTTCAAGGTTTTTACCTCATAACCTAGTTTTAAGATGAGTGAAATAGTGCCAAGAATTACCACTGAATTTTACTGAATTTTAAAAATTACTGCTACTTTGGTGAAAAGGTAATTCTAATTTTTAAACAGCTTTATTAAAGCATAATTTTCATACAATTCATCTATTTTATGTGTACCATTCAGTAAGTTTTGGCAAATGTGCATACAGCTATGTAACCTCCCCCACAATTAGAGAGCATTTTCATCACCCCAAAAAGTTCCCTCATGTCCCTCTGCAGTCAATCCCCATCCTCCTATCAGGCCCCAGAAAGGTACTGATCCTAAGGACAGTTTTGCCTTTCCTAGACTTTCATATAAACGCAATGATACAGTACTTAGTTTTCTGTGTCTGGCTTCATTCACTTCGTGAGATGTTTTTGAGATTTAGCCACGTTGTTTTGTGGATCAATAGCTTGTTGCTTTTTATTGCAAAGTAATATTCCATTGTTCGCGGAGATCACATTTCGTTTATCCATTCACCAGTTAATGAACATTTAGGTGGTTTCCATTTCTTCGACTACTCTGAATAATGCTGCCAGGAGCATCCATGTACAAATCTTCATGCAGATGTATTTTCATCTCTCTTGGGTACAGTAAGAATATGCTTAACTTTTAAAGAAATTTTATCTAATTTTAATTTGTATATCTTTGACTTATTGATGAAGATGATCATTACTCTATTTTTAATAGCCACTACCTGGGTTGTGACTAGCTTATTAATAGGTTTTCTCATTTGTTTGGCTCTTAATGACTTATAAATATATTACACTTTGTCAACTCTATCAGTATTCTTCTCAGAATTTTATTTACTTATGTCATTTGAAGTTTTTTTTTTTTTTGGTCCATCATAAAGCATTAATCACTTCCTTTGTTATTTCCATTACTGATACTGTATTAAGAAAGCCCTATTGC